AAAAAACAATTGTAGAAGGGCCAACAAGATAATTTCTTAAAGACATCTTAGATTTTAAGGTTAACTCAAAATAGCGATTTACATTAATTGTTCAAAAATTAGATCCAAATAAAAAAAAAAAAGAGCATAACTAGTCACTACTATGGAAAAAAGTTAGAAGTTAAAGCAGAGTCAGATGTATGAGTATAAAGAAGAATAGAAAAATTGCAACTCTAATCAAATGTGTTAATGAAAAATTATCAGTACTGAAAACTCCAGTGAAAAGACATTCAAATATATACAAAATGTCATATTGCATTCTATATAATGAAGACCAAGAAGAAGATTAAAAACACTTAGCTATTTGTAAAGGTTATGAAAAAGGTTGGACTATTACAAAAAACTCAGCTATCAATTTGGCCTGATAGTGCTCTCAAAAGAAACTCGAAAAAAAACAAGCAAATTAAAACTAACAGAAATCTTATACCAAAACTTAGCAAAAGGAAAAAAAAAATATAGATTCAAAAGCATAAAAGTGCTAATCTAAAAAAAAGCCAAAATAACAATACAAAGTCTTACCCAAACCTTCAAAGAAGCTAAAGAGTTTATAACAATATGGACAAATATAGCATAGAATGGTTTCTTTGAAAATATATAGAAAAAATGCTGTAAAGCAGTTACCAACTGAAAAAAAGCAAACAGAATTAGTCCTGAAGACAAAAAAAGAAAAAAGGCACTTCAAGAAATAATACAGTAAGAAATCTGATAAAAAAAATAGATAAAGGAGTTTTAAAGAAAGATTAAAGCTAAGCTGTAAAAGAAAAAAAAATAAAAAAATACAAAGTTCTTGGTTAGGTTCAGTTAGAGATTATATAAAAAGGAAGATAAGACTATTCTTTTATAGTTCTAATAGCTAGCTTAGTATAGACCTCTAACCAGTATAGCAGACTGCTTCTGAGCACTCATAGAAGCAGTCAAAGAATGTTGAGCCAGAATTTAAGCCAGCTTTGTACAAATTTATATATATAAGACTCTTAATAAAGGTGACAGCAAGGCTGCCAAAGATTTAAAAAAATAAAAATAAAAAGCAAATGAAAAGTCATAATCAAAATATAATTAATTGAAACATGATGAGTTTTTAATTATCTATCTTGTTGTTCAACCAGTTTATTATACTAAGTTGTTGCAAATTACTATGTTACAATTAATCTTGTGTAGCTATTTTTTTTAATCTTGCTATGCTATATTGAATTGATGATACTTCAGATAATTACTTCTATTTATGATAACAGATTCCTGTTCAAATCTTGGTGATTTCTTCTAAATATTGCCATGCCATAATTTATAATTTCCTGCAACTTCTTGATCTAGACCAAAGTACATTGTACTAAATAGCAAAGGGTAATTAAAAGTATACCAAATAATATTGGAAATTGATAAACAATACACTTTTTTAGTATCTCTTGATGTAGATAGTATCTTTTTGTTAGAAATATGAACTTGATGTAATTTAATTTTAAGTAAAGGCAGTCTTTGCCTATATTTTTTGAATCTTCTAATGTTTTTTACAACATTTTTGCTTTTGAATTGAGGATGATAAAAAATGTCTACTAAGTCATTATAAGCATAAGTAGCTAAAAAAAAAAAATTAGCAAACAAATACAGTATTTATAATAAATAAATTATTTAACTTACTTATATTATGTTTCTGGATTTAAAAAAATATTAATGCTTCTGTAATATTACTAAAATATAGTGCAAATTCTCCATTAATAGATGACATGTCTTTACTATCTAAAGGTTCATTAACAATTTCTCTTTTGCAATCTTTTTTTCTTAACAAATCATTTTTGCTCATCATACATTTGCATTTGACAAATTGTTTTCATTTAACTAATCATCTTCACTTAACAAATTATCTTTTAACAAACTATCATTACTCAACAAATTACTATTGCTTAACAAATCATCTCTTAACAAATTATTATCTCTCAACAAATTATTATTACTCAATGCACCATCCTCACTTAACACACTGTCTTTACTCAACACATCATTATCATTTTCATCTAATATATCATTATAAGAATTATAATTTGAAATAATATAATTGAAATCTTCTTTACTTAACATGTTGTTATTAGACTTCCTTTCAATATAGTCATTGTTAGAGATGTTAGTTCTAGTCTTCTCTCATTTACTATTTCATATGAAGTTGTATTGAATATATGAGATAAATGTCTTATATTATTCTAATGAGAGTTAAAAGAAATATAATGATTATAAAACATTGTTTAAAAAATAAGATAAAAATTTTTGAAAAAATATATGTAATTACTGAAATATATAAATTAAGTTTATTTCTTACACCATTTTGCAGACATATTTGCCTAGAAATTTCATGATTAATCTGTGATCAAACTATTAAATTATATTGAAATGTAGTCTAAATTGCAATAAATTTATAGTTAAATTGATGGTTTAAGGGATGATAGTTTATAATATACCTACTCAGAATGTTATTATATTGTTTAATAATATATATATTATGTTGATATTTACAATTGAAATATAATTGTTATATATGGACATAATCTTTAGATGCTTTAAAAAATTAAGATAGCCACTCTTATCCTATTGTCATGATTAATTTTCTGTAGGTATGGTATATGTAGTATGCATGATTATTGATTATGTTTTAAATTGAGATAGTTAATAATTAAATTATTAGTGCAGACAAAATATAAAGTTGGTAAGAACATATATGATAAACTTCAAATGCATAATTTTCAATTTGAACATCCAAATATCAATTGGTAAAATTAATCTAAATGCATCATTCAAATATTGTTTAGACTTGGTTAAATTGACACTTAAGATATTATATATATACAAGCACAATTATGTAATCATATGAATCATGACTATATACATAGATATTTTAAAGATCAAAAGTAACTACTACTTTTCATTTCTCTACTTTATATAAAATTTGGGTAATAACAACTATACATCATTACTTATATTATTGCCAGATGCTATTCAATATTCTAATATCTGTAGCCTTAATCATAACTATACTGCCACATCTCTAGAGGATAATCAAATGTCAAATAACTTATGAAATAAATAATAATGCATAAGATCATAAATATTGATGCATAAAATCAATAGAATTATTAATACAATACTCAAATCAATCAACAATTGGGTCATTAAAAATTTTTCAATTGATTAGTCAGCTAGTTGAACTAGTTTGTTTTTTAATTAACAATTTGAATTGCTGTTAGTCTTAATTAAAAGTTATATTTATCCTAATTTGGCATGAAAACCCTATAAATAAAATAACATCTAACCTTAGTTCATTTTAAATCTAATTTTACAGACATTCATTTTTATGAAATAATATAATAGCCTCGAATAATATATCAAAAAGAATATAAAAATAAAATTAATAAAGACATGCTCTATACATTAGGGTGTGTTTATAAAAACTTCAATTAAATACATATTCTCATTATAGTACAATATTTTTTCCTAAGAATTTAGCTAATAACTTCAGTTAAATTCTATTAAGATTCAAATTCTTTGTAACAAAGTTACTTTGTAATTTAAATATTATTTTCATTAGGATTTAAACTCTTAAGTATCATAAAAATTCTTGTGAATAAAATTAAGAAACTATTAGTGCTAAATTAATATAAATCATAGTAGCCTTTCTATCACTTTCTTGAAACATAATAGTTACATTATTACTCAAGGACTTGCTCGATTTTTGACTTGTAATAGCCACTTGGTTAATAATAGTTCTGAGCTGCAAGAATAATATGTTATGAAGATAATATTGAAAGCACATGTGAGGTATAATAATTATTTATTAGAAGAGGCAATTTAGATACATGTATAATTGCAAATTCATAAATAATATAATTGTTTAAATATTATATTTTGAGGTATTTATAACTTGTATGCTTCTCTGGATATGAAATTTTATTAAAAAAAATATCAAATATAATGCTAAAAAAGCTTTTAGCAAAAAGCCATTCTTTATCTTATGATATCGTTTGATCATAACCTAAAAATTAATAATCAAAGCTACATAATAAACTTTTAATGTTTATATATAAATATTATATATAAGTATTTTTTTTTTTTACTTTACTGCTAAACATAAATACTAGGGATTTTAAAAAATTTGCAAATGATAAAATATCCACTAGTGCTAAACAGAGCTGTAAAAAAAAGGAAATTAATCATTCTAGTGTTAATAATTCACAAGTTAACTCAAATATTGCTAAAAAATGAGACTGCAAAAAGAAGCAAGAAACTACTGCATTATTATCTTTACAAATAATAAATGAACTTGCAAATGATACTAACAACTTATAAGGCAAATATATCTTATTTGTTTTTTTAAATTAATTATAATTGTTTCATAATTCTTTTTTTAGATAATAATAATAGTTGAAAAAAAAGCAAAAAATAATGGTGCTTTCATCTTCACAAATAATTTACGAACTTATCAATAGTGCAAACAATTTACAAGGCAAGATTTATCTTTATTTGAAGCATTATTAATTAGTTATATGATGTCTTACATAGTAGTTTTGTTTAGATAATGATGTTCAAAGTTACAAAAAGAAACAAAGAGCAGTTGTATCTTTGTCTTTACAAGTAATTAATGAACTTTTAAATAATTCTGATAACTTACAAAGTAATAATTACTTTTATGAATTTATCATTATTATTTTATTATATTGTAATTAATTTATTATTATTTAATTTTATTATATTATAATATTTTCACGATTCTCTTTTTAGACATTGATAATTTTCAAGGTATAATTAATTTAAAATTTATCATTATAGCTTTGTTATATTGTAATCTTTTTATAATTTTCTTTTTAGATGATTATAAAACTGCAAGTTTTAATAGACTGTCTCAATCTTCTTTATTTATACCTTCATGACAACAATCATTAGCTCTAAGACCAAGAAATAAATCACTAGTTTTAGAGTCAATGATAGTGCTTCAAGCAACTTTATCATCAAGACAGTTATCACCAACTTTAGAGCTAAGTATTGTGCCTTTAAGATGCTTCTTACCAATTCTGGATTCAAGAACTAATACTAATATTCAAAATGATTTCTATTATTCTCTAATTAGTTCAACAGTTGCATCTTTAAGAAAGTTATCAACTCTAGAATCAAACTCTTCTAATAATATGCTTGGCTATTTTAATCTTAATAATACAGTTATTTCATTACCATTTAGTGATATGTCAATTTATCAGATTTGCTTGTGGTTATGTTCAAATCCAAATATTTTGCAGCTTGCAAATTGTATGAATTTTTTAATGCAAACTTTAGCTGCAAATGGCTCATAATTTACACTCTCTATCCTTCTAGCAATATTAACTACAATATCAAATCCATATAATAAGATAGTTGGCTTCTTTTTTTTTCTTACTATTTTTATAAATTATTGATAAATTTATTTGATAGACAAAAGCGAGTTGAGACTATTTGAAGGAATTAAAGTATCTTTTTCTTCATGTTTGAAATCTTCTAAGAAAAGTAATTAAGAATTTAGTATGACAGATTATTAAATATGATCTTAATTTAGCTAAAGGAATTGAATGGCTTCAAATAGCTACAAAACATTTTAGTAATTTTCTTAACAAATTTATTAATAGTGTTAAAAAGTTAGTGGAAGAATTCAAAGAAAAAAAATTCAGTTAGTGTGTAATATCAATTACTTTTTTAGTTCTTCTTTACTTTGACTTTAAGTAATATGTAATTATAGTTCTATAACAAGTCCTTTACAAAAAGAAGAAATTATCATCTTTGTAAATGAATCTACAACTATTAATGTATTAAATTGATAGTTGAGTGCAACAAATATGAATGAATTACATGCTCAAAATTCAATATCATATTTATGTACACTTATTCAAAGTGCATTTGCTGTTAATTATATATCAAGAAACCTTAAAGAAACAAAAGCATTGAATAGATTAATAAAGAATATTGCTGTTTTATCACAAAATAGCAAAAATTTTATTAGCAATATTCAATTATAATAATTTCATATTTGACTTATAAGATGCATTTAATACTTTATTATTCTGCAGCTAATTTAAGCATTTATTTAAAAGCAAATTTATTTATTAAATATATATAAGTTCACAAGTATATTATACAAAATATGAGTTTTAAATAAGATTCTTTTATGCTTTTAAACTCTTTCTACATGTAATATCAATGTACTAGCAGAAATAATTATTAAAAAGAATACAACAGGATTTAAGAATATGGTTTAGGTCAATTATATAAGATTAGTGATACATGCCATAATTTACTATATTTGGTATTACTAGTTACAGCAAATTATAGCAAGTTCTGAAGTTACAACAATCTTTAGTATAAAGATCTTACTACATTTATGAATAATAGCTCTATATGTTGATAATAGTTATACTAGAGCTATTATCATGATGATCACCCAAATTGGGCTTTGTATAATGTAAATTAGTAATACTTGCATATGGATATAGTTAGAAAGTACTAGTGCTTTTTTATTTTTCTTGTCTATTTTACCTACTCTTTTTACTGCTCTTACCCATTCTTTCTATACATTACTATACCCTGCATGGTCCTGTTGTCATTAGGTAACAAGTAGAATATGACATACTATAGCATAGGTCTAAATTTGTTACCCAAATAAGGTAGAATGCACTACATCATAGCATGGGCCTGTACTTTTGATTCTCTAAAATGCTTTATCATATAACTAAGCATAGATATCTACCAAATGGTGGTACTTATTATTTAAGACAAAAATAAAATGGCAGTGAAAAAAGAAGTAGTAAATTAGCAAGGTGGACACTATTCCCATTATGTATCTCTATAAAATCTAATAAAAAAATCTAAGTAAAAACAATAAACATTACGAACTATATATTCTTACTTCTTATTTATGATTTTTAATACCCTAAATTTTATTAGTACATCAAATTCTAAAGAAACTTATTTAAATAGATTTTATTTAATAATATTTCTTTGGCATATCTTTAAACATCATAAAATACTAACAATACTATAGAAAGTTTTGAATATTTATGAATACATAATGATTTTTATTACATATACTTTTAAAGATCTTCTCAATATAACCTTAATTGCTTAAATTTATAGAATTAGTTCTAGAGATTCATTGAAGTTCTCTGCTCAGATTATTTAAGTATAAAATTTATTATACATTTTAGCATATAGTGGCAATTTCTACTCTGATCAAATTTTAATATTATTCACTGCTTATAGCTATATATGTATGTACTAGCATTTTATAATCAGTTGGATGCAGGTTTTTAGCACATCTTGTATATTAAATAACATTATATTAATCTTACCCAACAGTAGTGTTCTGATTCTGTCTTCGACAAGCCATCTGGGTTTTATTAAATTTGGGTTGAGATTAGATCTAAAGCTAGTTTTGAGCAAATTCTTATGTTCATTATTTAAGTTCTTTGACCAATCTGAGTATAAATTTTTGATCTAAATATCTAGATTTAAGGATCAATCCAGATAGTCAGATTTAGGATCAGAACATTATCTAACAGAGTAGCTCTCTAAAGCTAAATGCACTTTTCCATATTAGTAAATATTATGCCAATTTGCAATATTTATTACAGAACCAGAATATAGATCTATTTAGACTCTTATTGCTCAAACCTCCAAAGCCTTCCATACTCTACTATATAGTTAGCTTGTAGAAGATAAATAGATATACATAAAAGATATTTAAAAATAGTATTTATTTTTAAATAATAGCTAAAAACCAAAAAAATAGTAACTATATAATAGTTATATAGCAAGCAAAGTGAGAAAGTTTTTAGAAATTATTAAACAATAAATATAATAAATTTTATTAGAATTTTAAACTAAATTATTGTATGCAGATACAGTCATCTCTCTTAGAACTGGTATGCATGATGAACAGGTTTAGTATTAGAAATAGCAAATTATTGGTTATTACTTATTAAATAGATATCTGATGGTTTGATTTTTAACTGATTTTGGCAGATTATCAGTTTTGACAGAATTAGTTCTGAGAGGGTTAACTATATACTTAATATGATTTACAAAGCCAAAGCTGTATATGAATGTTGCTAAAAGAAAACTCAAAAATTTAAATATGACTTATATTTAAATTTTTAGATTTTTTTTTAGCAACACTTTTATAAAGATCTTTATTTTGGAAATATAATTTATTTATAGTTTTGGTATTAGCTATGATTTTTAATCAAATAAAAACTTTTTAATATTATCTCTTAGATTGTAACACAGGCAAATTTGCCTACATAATTTTTTTAAAATTAATTTTTATAATAAAATTTTAACAATTAATTTTAGCAATATACTTTCTAAGTAAAAAAT